TCTCTCTCTCTCTCTCTCTCTCTCTCTCTCTCTCTCTCTCTCTCTCTCTCCCGCCGTAGCGGTATCTTCAGCGCAGCAGGTGAGAACTATGGCGCCCTACGGCGCGCGTCTCTCTCCTGCTGCAACGGCGATGGCGCATGGGATAGCGGGTACCAGCTCCATACCAGTGCAATCAGACTCGCTTTCATTCACAGTCCAGCAAGTACCGTACGGGACGGTGTGCACCACGGGCATGGGAAAGGGCCAGACCAACGAGCTACAGAAGTACAAACTGAGAGGCAGCGACCAGCCATTCATTGATTTCCTGCGTAAGCCATGCGGAAGCGCTGCCATAGTGACTTGTGCGAGGTGGTCTGCAGTGAGCCCGAGGACGAAGTGGGCAAGAAGAATCTTAGCCATAGCGATAGCGTAGCAGCGGCCATAGCCACCATAGCTATAGATGTGTGCGGGTGTATGTGAGTGTACAGAGTGTGACGTGTGTGGGGTATCCAGGGTGATCCTGTGTGCGAACAGCAGTGTCGAGTAAGTGACGATTAGAGAGTTGTACATTCGATGTCCCGCCATAGCCAGTTGAAGTGAACTTGTATCTAAGCTGCGTTCTGGGTCACCATATCTCTGAGTTCTGAGTGGGCGCTTGACGCCAGGTTGCGGGACTGCTGACTCAGCACGGGTAGACTCCACCACTTGCCCACTTGCCCACTTGCCTCTGTCTCAAACGTGAGCAGCTTCGAAAGGCCACTTCCGGACCTTCCGGAAGTTCGTGGACTTGGCCTTTCGAGTACTGTAGCAGCTACGACCTTGACCTCTCAGGACTGTAGCAGCTACGACCTTGACCTTTCAGGATCCCTCCAGCTACGACCTCTACAGGGCTGTGACTCCTACTCGACAGACCTACAGATCGAACCCCTACCACTACACAGACCTACGACAGACAACAACAGCTGTCAAAAGATGAAAACCATTCACTTTACTTGCATTCCACAAATTCTTAGACTTATGAAACTTCGAGGTCCACGAGCCACTGGACCTTCTCACACATGTGAAACATCCCCATGAAGTCAGATCATGCCAATGGTTCAGCAACTGGTCATCAATGGAACAGGAATCAGACAGCCTCTCAGGTAGACTAAGGTTAAGGTAATATCAAAGATAAGGCCAAGGTGCCCAACGGCATTTTGAAGAGATGGCACTACAATATCAACCAAATCAACTGAGACAGCAGGAAGAGCTCCAACAAAAACAAGCCGAACACCCCTAACCAGAAGAACTTTCTAGCGCCATCCAGACAAAGGAAGCCCGCCTGTTAGCTTGCATGGAACACCGGTGGCAATGTGCACACATCAGAGGAAAGCTGCAAAAGTACAACGTGGAGGGATCAATGGACTCTCAGTTCATTGCCATGGCAAAGGCTAGAATGGGGAGAACCACCATTGAGGCATTGGTTGCACAAGCGGTTAGCAGGGACCCCCACTTTTCAGCCCTGTTTAACCCCCCCGCCACTCTATGAACTGGTGACAAGTCTGGCTTAAAAGGTGTGGGACGTTCGTTATAATGACCCTGAAAAAACCCTGAAAATTCAGGGTTCTGTTAACCGCTTCTCGGCGGGGGGGGCGTAGCACTTGGATCCATATCTCGATTCACCACACACAAACCCCAACCTAAACCTACTGCAAGGAAAACAAGCAATAACGAGGTGACATAATCCAGAATGCACAATCACATTCAAAGCCAGAAAGTTCCACAGTTTCCAGAAAGTAGCATTGCATCAATAATACTCCAATGGAGAGTCGTAACACTGAAACCTAATGTCCATGAGAGCTTACTCTCGTCTTCACCAACATAAGAGTCCAGGCCCTTCCCCCTACTTGGCGCTCGGCGCCCAGACTACTCCCACACAGCTACTGTCTGCCTAAGAATTGACAATGCAACTGTTGACGTCAGCAGCCAGCGAAGTACATGAAGATGTCGCCCAATGCAGACCATCGCCAATACCAGGTATGAGCCCTCACATCATCATCCTCATCTCTATCTCTCTCTCCCTCATCTGTCTCCCTTGTCTTCCCTCTGTACACCGGAAGACCACCACTGCGCCTTGCTGTATGTCCAAGCCCAGCCAGCTATGGAAGCTGGGCTATGGCGCTGCCCTCAGCAGCGCCCTTCTTCACAAACGACCGCACGTGCACAGCACCTTGCCCCAGTGCTAGCACCAGCACGCGAGCAATCGCTCCAGCAGCGCTGCTGCCGCAAACTAGCAAGTGCCCGAATGAGCTCCCAGGCAGCGAACTTTTTCCTATATGGAAAGAGTCTGGCCTGGCCTGCGGCCTGGCTGGGCTGGGCCTGCGCCCAGAAGCTTCCGGTAGGCCCCAGGTAGCTGACTATCTGCTGCTGCTGCTGGGCCTCGTTCAGTTACGCCTCCCGCCTGTCTGTGTATGTTGCTGTGAATGTGGCCCAGGGCCTGCATTTCTGAAAAGGCCTAGAAGGCCGTGGAAAGTATTCGCTGCTCGGGTCCCGGGTTCCCTCAACCAACGGACACGACACAACTGCCTGAACCCCAAATACGAAATTGACAGCATTTGGCCTCTCGTGATTTGTTTGGCCCACCTTCACTTAGGGCGGGCACACTTGCATAGGGGGGCCCTTAGGCCTGCCGAGGAGCCACATCCTCACATTCCCTCCTCCTTTACTTCAATAGTCACCTGAGAAGTTTCTAATCTACAGGCATCTTTCCCTTGAGAGCTCTTTCGTAGTCTGCAATCACTTGGGGAGCTGTTTGCTGGAGTTCTTCTCTGGTAAACCACTGATTTTCACTAGTATCAGTATGGTGTCTGAATCTGACACAGTACTGCATCCTTGGCTTTGGAGGTCGGCCTCTACCAGGAGGTTTAGGCACTGGCATCACCCGATGCTCCACGATTTCGTCGATGTCGACTTCGGCATCCATGGTTAGGGGCAGCAATGCCGCAGCATTGATCATCTGGAGGGAAATTGTGCAGTTTCTGCAAAAGTCGTCAGCTTTGACGCATGAAAGACTGGGTGTGTGCGTAGGTGAGCAGGGATGCGAATCACATATGAAGGTCCATCTATCTGATTTCCAACTATGTCTAGAACCTCCCAGGGACCGAAATACTGAGGCATTAATTTTCGTGAAATTCCCAACTCCTGACCCAGTTCAAATGATTTCATCCAGACTTTGTCCCCTACCTGAAAGTAAGAAGGCCGTCTATGTTTGTTCTCGAATGCAATCATAGCATCCTGAGACTTCCTAATGTGTTCAACGGCCTGTTGCAACATCTGTTCATACTTGACAGCAAACTCTATGTCAGTCGGTGCTGCAGATAACTGATTTTCGGGTAGTGGAAAATCTAGGGCGGTTCTGGGCTCCCAACCAAGGTGCAGTTGGTTGGGAGTCATGCCATTAGTGTTATGCCCAACGTTATTGTACATGCTGGCGACGAGAGGCAGTTACTCATCCCAGTCATCCTGACTTGGTTTTATGTAATTCCGAAGTAGTTGTTCCACTACTCGGTTCATTTGTTTTAACTGGCCATTTGACTCAAGGTCATTCCCTAATGTCATTTGAAGTCGGGTGCACATTTGCTGGGCTGTGGATTGCCACAGTTCACTAGTGAATCTCACATCCCTATCGCTTACAATAGATGTAAGGAGACCAAAATCGCATACCCAGTTGTCTAAAAATAGTTTG